AAGCTACAAAGTTTTATCTGGCATCAGCTTGAGGGCTCCAGTAATCGACAAAATTCTGCGTATACAGACTGCGTTTAAGTATACGTTCTGCGTTCTCGACTAATTTCAGCTTAAGTGTTTATTGTGCTTGTGCTTGTGTGAATGTGTTTTGTACATACATTTCCATTCTTATTTGACGTTAGCTTTGTTGTTGCCATTCTTTGGTCTAAAAATTTGGTTTTTTGCGTTCCTTTAGGTTCGGTGTTATGCAGAAATTTTGTTTGGCAAACTGCGTGCAATTGTTGTTGCAGCAAACTCGGAGAGAGCGAGTTTGGCGACTCTCACAGCAAACTAATTTTGTTTGGTCAAACTGCAGCAAATTCGGTGTTGTCATATACAAAAATTTTAAATTGTGCGCGTTATGTACATCTGAAATTCTCATTTCGTGTTGGCAATAGCCATGAAAACCATAATGAACGTGCAACCCTGTGCCAAACTCGACATAACCACCTCCGAGCAAACTAAGCAGCCGCCATTTAATTTGGCAAACAAAAGTTTGTCTGCATAACACCGACCTAAGCAGCCGCCATTTAATTTGGCAAACAAAAGTTTGTCTGCATAACACCGACCTTACTTATCCTGTTATTCTCTTTTAGTGAGCGCATTTTGCTTACGCTCTGGCATTTTGACACTTTTCAGATTTTAGTCCAAAAAGATAAGGAATGAACCTACTATTGATGGTTGCGATCCCGTACGAGCCCCGACTAGTCAGCAATAGTTAAAGCGAACCCAATAAACACTAAACAAATATTTCTCCAACCTTGGGAGATATTCATAGTTCTCAACATGATACAAAAAAAAGAAAGTAGTTTCACTTTTAATATTTTTGACATAAACTTTGCTTACTGACGTTTCTACTTTTCGTAAATTGTTGAAGTAGCACTGCCACCTAATCAAATACTTATTTGGGAAATTTTAATATTTTTTTAAGGAATTTTTATTTTATTAAAAAGTAAGTTGTAACACACGAGGTAAATATACTTACATGATTGTTCGTATTAAAAGAGCTGCGTATTGATTTAAATTGCTATAAATGTAATAATGCAGCGTTTTTGCTGCATTTAAAATGCTACATTTAGCACTTTCGAACATATGTTTTCGAAGAGCGTTCATGCTGTAGCATTTAGCAAATGTACATTTACGCTAAGGGTGGGTAACTCAGCAAATTTATAGGAGTTGACTCAATGACTCCAACTTAACCACTTTAAGGAGTCAGCTCATTCAACTAACTCATTTGACTCTTTGTATGTTACACTCATTCGTATCGTAGACTCGTTTTGAGGCATAGATGCGGTATAGCGGCCGTTGAGATAAAACAAAACTTTATAGTGGGCGGGGTCAGCTCCTTTCTACTGATTTCAAAGGTGTAATTTTTTTTGTGTGCAAATTAATAGGGCGGTGCTAGGGGGAGGGTAAAGGTGGAATTTTCAATATTTTCTAAAGCTTATATTTCGAAACCTCTTGTACCGAATTTCAAAATGTGGATATGGTTGGAAAGGCAATTGATTTGATATGCACATCTTTATATATCTTACATACATACATATTTCGAGAAAAACTAAAAAAAAAAACGAAATTATAAGAATTTGTGAGATTTGACATAACACCCGCAATACAAAATACATGTGGTTGTTGTTGTATTCTTGCCACCACCTTGTATAAATTCGCCTCGTGCAAAAACAAAATGCAAGACTTTGCCATGCTAAACACTGTGGCGAAGCGAGAGAGTTATATGGACAAATATGAGCCACTATGATTCAATTGATTCATGTGAGCCCTACGGCATCAACTGAGTTACTGAGTTACATTTTTTTTGGACAGGGAGTCTGAGTTACCGATTCACTTATAGGAATCAACTCAATAACCCAACTCTGAGTTGAGTTACCCACCTCTAATTTACGCGAGTTTGAAATCGTATGCTTTTGACAAACAGCCGTGTTCCAGTCTCTTATTTAGATTCGTATATATTACGATTAATTCTCACGCAGAAGATAATGTGCAAAAACCCTACTGAAAAGGAAAAAATAAATCTTAAACCAAAAATTCAATACAAAAACTTGAATTGTTTTAACCATAACCGAACATTTGTTTGTGTATATAATTTATTTGTTGTTGTTGTTGTTGTAGCAGCAGTACTCAACCCCCCGGGGATCCGTCAAGGGTCGTCTTCGTCGACTCGACAAGCCTGAGGCCGAGAAAGCGGGCAGTGGTCTCTCTTGGCAGTTCGGCTTCGTCGATATTGATGGGTGGCGGTCGACCACCTAGAACGATGTTGTCGTTTCTGGTGCTAAGACTCGACCTGACTGCATCGGTGTGTAGGTGGTTAAGTGCCGCTCTGTATTTCTGTGCGTCGAATGGGTGGTCTACGCACGGCTCGACGTCGGATTTCCAGTCGTGCAGGTGACGTCTGACATGTCGGGGAGGCGGTTAAGAAATTTACAAGATCGGTGAGATAGTCGCTGATTTTCCTGCATAGGCTGTCAATGTTGGGGCCCGTCGCCATAATCGTGCAATCATCGGCGTAGCTCACCAAGTTAACTCCTGCTGGCGGCGGAGGGAGTTTCGCCATGTAGCGGTTGAACAGTGTCGGGGAGAGTACGCCGCCTTGGGGGACCCCCTGTTTAATCCTACGCGGATTGGACTTGGCGTTTCGGAATTCGACCGATGATTGGCGTCCACACAGATAGCTGGTTATCCACCGCTTCGTCCGATCCGGAAGCGACGAGTCCAGGACGTCTTGGCAGAGGGTCGCGTGGTTTACCGTGTCGAAGGCCTTCGACAGGTCCACTGCGACTAGGACCGTCCTATCACAGGGTCGACGTTGGTTCAGACCCTCGCTTATCTGGGGAGGAGTAGTGCTTCCATTGTCTTTGCCACTGGGGATAGGAGGGAGATTGGCCGGTAAGAGTCTCCTGCGTCCGCCTTCTTACCTGGCTTAAGGAGGGGATGATCCTACCCATTTTCCACATCTCAGGGATGATCAGGGTGGGCAGTGACAAATTGAAAGCTGCTGTGATGTACTCGACTCTCGACTTTATTCGTTGTACCGTGGTTTCACAGCATGCTTTCGATAAACATCGACTTCACATCACTGCGGTTGTTCTGGCTATTTCACACAATTAACAAGAAAATTATACCTTATTCTTTTGCATAATCATGCAATGAAAATAAAAATTACATAAACGGATAATCAAACTTGACATTATTTTATAAAAATGTAATTTTTCCAAAATATCGTAAAGAAAAATCGATACATTTTCACACTTATTTTGCTATATCGTAAACTAAGTCGAAACTACATAGTAGAAGTCTGAAATGCGACTAGGAATAGAGGTAAATTTTAAGTTGGTACTTAAATTTAAGTTGCAACTTTGTTAGTTTCGACTTAGTTGCTGGACTATGAATATGCGCCATTGTTTTTACAAAAATACCAACTAAGGCTATCTGCACACTTTTCGTCCAATCATATTTGCGTTATCGTCTCGCCCTGAAATTTTGAGCCGAGCACATGCATGTCGTTATCGGCTAGTTATCGGCATATCGTAGAAGATGCAGAAACGGATAAGTACGGCTCTGTCGTTTGCTAATCGTTGTGCACGCATTGTTTGTTTACATTTTATGGGGAAAAATTAGTGAAAAAGTTAATATTTGCATTAAAATTGCATACAAATTAGTATTTTTTTGCATAAAATCTGTGGAAATTATTAAAAAGTGGATAATTGCATTAAAATTCAATAAATGTGAGCGTTTTAACTATAAAGTATGACGAAATTGTAAAAAGTCTCTGTGTGCATGCACAAAACACAATTCAGGAAAAGAAAAGAAGAGATATTACTGAAAACTTATGTATAGAATTGTTGCGGCACAGTCTATATTTTAAAAATTTCAGGTTTTTGTAAATATTTCGCGAACATATCCACCATAAAAATAGACAATACCTGTTCCAAGTGAATTTTTAGACGCCAAATGAATTGAAATATCCCGACCGAGTGTGCGAAAGTGTAGTCGTCATGTAATCCTTGCATCATGATTGTTACGATGAAGCAACTATGGCTGGACGACTGGACTTCACATTGCAATAACCAATTTTTCGATTTTTGCCCACTGCGCGGATAANTGACACTTTTCAGATTTTAGTCCAAAAAGATAAGGAATGAACCTATTGCAATAACCAATTTTTCGATTTTTGCCCACTGCGCGGATATTTTTCGGCATTCGCGATATGTTCTCAGTACTTGTGAAAAAGTATCGAGTTCTCGATACTACGCAGTACTCATGAAACGTATCGATATTGTGTACTCGGTACTCATATTGTTCTAACACTAGTTGGTTGCTGTTTTGTCAAAATTCCGTGTAGTTGATCTGGCTTTCATTAATTATACATTAATCGAGGTCCAATAATGAACTTGCAACAACTAGAAGAAGAGGCGCGACAGGCAGCCTTGAAAGACATAAAGAATATGCTCCAGCGGCCAGGTCAACTTGAAAAGGTGGATCAATTTCGACATCGAGTTGCAAGAAAGAAAGCTTCCGTGGAGGCACTACTGAAAACGGGAATGCAAAATCAATTGGATGGGGTACGCGTTGGTTTAAAACAGTTAGAAACATGTTTACAAGATGTTAAGGAAGTTCGCCAGCGCATGCTAGAAGTGGATCGATTGCTGCAGGGAGTACCGGAGATCTATGATGCATTAGAGGTGGTACGAGAAGAGAATACCAAACATTCCCAGTATGCTACTGCAATGGAGAATCTCAAACATATATTTAATGTTGAAGCAAGTGTTCAAAAAACGATGACACTTATTGATGAAGATAAACTTCTGAATGCTCACCAGTGCCTCGCTGACTTGGAGAATTCTCGTGATGATTTGCTATACGAATTGCATAAACAACCTAAGCAGCATGCATCCGATAAAATTACTTTAAAGCGGCATTTTGAAAAAGTTGATACTGTTTCCCAAGCACTGGAAAAGAAACTACGTCTCATATTAAGCCGTACTTTAAATACTGTGCGCAAGGAACCTACTGTTATTGTGACAGCGTTGCGTATAATCGAACGGGAGGAAAAGAATGATCAATTCGCCTTGCAGCAGCAGAAAGTAACTGGATTCCTGCCACCTGGACGACCAAAACAATGGCGTTCGATGGCCTTAAAAATGTTAAAGGAAGCTGTTGTAACACGCATAGAAGGATCGAAATTGGAAGAGCGCGCAGATAATAAAATGTGGTTAGTGCGTGATTTGGAAATTTTGCGTCAAATCATTTTGGAAGATTTGAGAGTTGTAAAATCATTGTGCGTCCCATGTTTTCCCCCACATTATAACATCTTCAAGGAATACGTGAAAATTTACCATGAAGGACTTTCTTCATATGTAAGTAACGTAAACATATAAGGTTATTTAGCACAGCTTTGATATTTTTTCAGCTCGATAATATTGCAAAATCAGGTCTCGAAGGAAATGAATATGTATCACTGTTATCTTGGGTGATGAATACATATCCCGGCGCAGAGTTGATGTCCCATCCTGACCTCAAAGTCGATATCCAGCAAGTCGTTGGGCCATTGTTGCGACCGGAACACTTGAAGTCGCTTGAGGATGAATATTTGCGCAATATGCAACGAAACTACCAGGAATGGATGACTAAAACTGCAGAAACGGAAAGGCAAGAATGGTTCTCTGATCAGCCTCCTGAACATGAACAATATTATCATACTTCAGCCCCAGTTATCATCTTCCAAATGATCGATCAACATCTACAAGTGACTAACACCATACACTCTGACCTGACATTCAAGGCGTTGGTGATGAGTATTCAACAAGTAGAGGTTTTCGGACAATCTTACTTAAAGAATGTTATCGAACTAAAGGAACACCATTTTCGTAATCGCGATCAAATAAAATACTTTACTCACTACATAATTACTATAGTAAATAATAGTCAGCAAATGGTGGAGTTGGCTCACCAAATGAAGCAACTGTATTGGCCAAAATCGCGCACTGAACATTATGAAGATTTTGAAAAATTGCTTGCCACATTCCAAAGGATTAGGGCACATGCTACCAGTTATTTACTTGAAGAAGCCTTCCTGGACATGGAGGGTCATTTTAATGACTTATTCACAATGAAATGGCTGGGAACCACGATTTCTGTTGACACCATTTGTATTACCTTGTTAGACTACTTCCAGGTACTTTTTAATTGCTGCTTAGATATAAAATCATAACTTAATTATATTAATACTAACAGGATTATAAACACTTACGGCCTAATAACTTTGAGATGGTCATAAATGAGGCACAAAAACTACTTGCAAAACGGTACATACGCGCTTTGCTTTCCAAACGTTTATCAAAGTCAAGGAGCGAATGTGAAGCGATCACTACAAAAATCAATCAGGAAGCGAAACGGTTTAAGCAGTGCTTCGAGAAAATCGCACCGAATTTAACAATGAGTGACTCCCCGCTAGATTTGATACCGACACTCTCGGCTTTGCTGTCCGGGGATATAGAATTACTAGTACTAGACCTTCATACGTTACTGGGAAATTATCCATCCTTGAGTGAAGATCATATAGTACGATTATTCTATTTGCGTAATGACGTAAAGTCCAGTGAAGTTCGGGAAAAGGTGCAAGATGCTGCAAAATCTAAGAAGGCTATGGTTAGCATTGCAAAACAAGATTGCATATTCAAAGAAATTGTCTTCAATGACAAATTGTGGTAAAGGATATACATATACATACACACATATTTCTACTAGTATATATATGTGTGTATGTTCTAAATCGGTCTAATTAAAATGTATTGTACTTGAAAATGCTACAAAATACAGTTGGTGGCTATTTCAAAATGGGGTAGTCTCATTGATCCACAGAAATCCAATATCTATATATATACCTTGTCCATACCTACGCAAGCACCGCATTAACGGAAAGCTGATTTGACTCCACACTTATTTCTTTAAAGCACTCGCTGAAACCGTATTACAAAGTAAACAAAATTTGTTATCTTTATCACAGCGAACGGCAGTGCGAGCGAGTGACGAAAGCAGCAACAGTAGCATGCTGAAATGACTCGGAAAATATATTCAACCTTCGTAAACGATTAACCGGATTCTTAAAAATTAGGCTAAAGTGTTGCGAAACAAAAAACGTTGCGAAACTCCGTCTACTGCTAGAAACACAAAATAAAAAACAGAACTTTTGCAACGATTCGTATGAACAAAAAAGATTTTCCGTACGTTTCAAAGGCAGTTAAAAAATTCGTATGATTTTCGTCACGAAATTGATATAATAAATTTTGTGTTTCTAGTTCAGCTTTCGTCACTCGAAACTTTTACCTCAAAGAGGTGTTTTTTTTGATTCGATATTTCTTAAATAATACAATAACAAGAATTCAAATTTGTTATAATAATAATAATTCAAACTTAAAACGGGCTGCATAAAGAAAACCAGCCTTTTTTCACTTCAAATGAGTGATGTGTTTATACCTGTTTTCTAACCGATTCACAGTGGCCAATTTTTCTAAAAAGCTGGCCAAAAGTCGAAGCGTGGGACAATTGTAATCAAACCTTGTGTATTCGTCTTTATTTTGGTAGCTGGTTTTAAATTTCACCACATAATTTCCAAATTCAAAATGGCGTATCCATAATGGCTGCTGTGTACGCTTAAAATAATCAGACTTTTAGCAAAACTAAGGTAGTTAAGTATAAAAGGTCATGTTTTTTTCTTTTTTGTTATATAATGTGATGTAGCGGTTAGCAATATACGCTATCATTCCGCAGCCACTCATAAATATAAAATCCCCATTCGGATTCGGTGTAAAACTGTTGGTCCCTCCCCTTTGTGCGCCAACATCAAGGCGCACGCCACAAATCGGAAGAGAAGCTCGGACAAACACTAACGAGGTCTTAATGTTTGTTTCTAAAAATTTTGATGTTCAAATTTACACGGGAACTGCGAGATTTTGAATGAATCAATAAACAAGACATACATATTTGTTGGTACAGGAGTATATTTTTAAGCTCATATCTATATTTTCTGATGGAAATTTCGCATCCGCATTTACAACAGTTGTTAATAATTTAATGGCATCTGACGACAGTTTATGATTTTGTTTTGGTGGGTTTAAACGTAAACTTGAAATGACAGGGTCCAAGGATACAAGCAGCCGATATTTTTTAATATCCTTATTCCTTGACTCTTGGGCTTCTTCGGAAAGTTGCCCAATTGGCAGGGGTGCCCATTCAATAATGAGAGGCCCATGGATGAGCACTCTAATATAGTAGTACTTTCTGACATCATTTAAATTCTAAAAACATCCAATCTTTAAAACATCAAAATCTTGACAGAAATAATTTTTTACATAATTTAAATCTTTTAAACATAAAAAAATTAAGAATCGCGTATAAAAACTGATGTCCAAACTAGAGATAGGCACGGGCCGGAATATTTGCTGTCAGCACGAACTCGTGCGGGCCTGGGCGTTCAGTAAAATTTCATAAAAGCACGAAAAGGCACGAAAAAGCCCGTTGCTAATACTAAAAATTTAGATGAGCTTTTGTTTTTATACAAAAAAATAGCACATACTTAAAACTGTTTTGATAAGAGAAAAGCAAAAAAAAAAGTATTTCGAAACCGATAGAAAATATATGATACTTAGTAGTTTTGTTTACATACATATCTGTACATAAAATACCTTCCACTTTTTCTACTTCCCAGAAAATATATTATACAAATCCTTGATGTAAAATATTGATTCGCTTAAGTAAATATACATATGGACATAAACACAAAATTAAAAATATGTACATATGTATACATACAATAAAAGTTGGCTCTTTATTTCCGGGCTGGGGCATGTCCCGTCGTGGCGGGCCGGGCCGGGCCCCACTAAAATTCTTAACGTGCGGGCTTGTGCGTGTTTTTGAAAGTTGATTTTGCACTCGTGCCGGGCCGGGCCTGAAAATTTAGGCCCGTGCCCATCTCTAGTCCGAACTACAGTGACGGCTTGTGGTAGGTGGTTTTAACCAAGGTGGCTCATCTAAATTTTTAGTATTAGCAACTGGCTTTTTCGTGCCTTTTCGTGCTTTTATGAAATTTTACTGAACGCCCAGGCCCGCACGAGTTCGTGCTGACAGCAAATATTCCGGCCCGTACCCGCGGGATTACGCAGGGGCCCGTCGGGCCCCTGCCAAAAGCCCGGCCCGTGCCCATCTCTAGTCGTAACCCATAATTCAGTAATACAAGGTTCGATAAACTGACAGTTGCCTCTCTCGCACCGCTCCCTTAAGCTGAAATTAGTCAAGTACGTAAACCTACCGGTACGTAAACCCGAGTCAGCTGACACGATCTGTCTTACCAAAGCGCCATGTAAATGAAAACTCAACACCGCAGAATTTTTCTGTAGTTGTAGCCCGTAGCGCAGAAATCTGCGGAATTTAGATTTTTCCGTGTCAGCTGATTTCTCCTTCTTTAGATGGTTGCCACTTCGTCAGTTTTGCAGATGGTAAAAAAGTTATAAGTTCCTATTCGAAATATGTTTAAAATATTTGAAATTTACTATTAAATAAGGTTTTTGTTGAAAACTAAGTAGTTTATATTTAGTTACAATCTATTATAGCACGAAAAATTGTGGTTGAAAGGGTAAGTTTATGAAAAGGCATTGAAGAGTGGCAACAGTGTAGTAAGCAACACTGAGGGCTCCAGTAATCGACAAAATTCTGCGTATACAGACTGCGTTTAAGTATACGTTCTGCGTTCTCGACTAATTTCAGCTTTAGCAGTGGCACAATGTTGCTTCTTTGCAAATTTGCTTGGAAAAAGTGTAGCTTTGGTGTGAAATAGAAGTATACGCTTTTGTGCAATATGCTTATTTGTATATGCATATGAAGCATATTTACCTGATAAAAACATAAATTGTTTTTAAATTGAATGTTTACATCAATCTTATAGTAGTTTTATTTTAATTTTGAGTCTTAATGCAGTTTTTATACAGCTAAATTACGTAATTCACGTAGATATATCAATATAACGTTCAATATTTCGTTAATATGGCAGATTTCCTGCAAATACATTAGAATCTACCAAAGGAATTTCACTACTAATTGCGTACTTTTCTACTACCATTTTCACACCAAGAGATTTAAATCTTCTCCTTTCTCCGTCTTTCGTAAATGCAACCTTTTGTAAGGGAGTGTCAAACCGCGGCTGTCAATAATTATCTAACCTTGTAGGTGCAATCCCGTATTCCTCGGACTCGGACTAGTAAAACTGTCAAAAAATAAAAATTCACTCAGAACGAGAGAGTAACATTGAAAAGTACGGAATCGCTTTCTAGTAAAAAATGGTAACTTCTGTCAACTTCAACATAACCTCCAAATTTTGGTTGTAAATTTTTGCTTATTTTGTATGTAAACACACTCAGCTCACACATGTAAATAACCAAAAACACTTTCAAATTCATTAGAATCCACTAAAACAAGTAATTAAATACTTTTCAACATGAATTAGCAGAGTGCACTTTTCTTTTGTTTCCAATTTGGTTGCCAAACACTACAGCTGATCGTTTGACACATTTACCAGAGTTTACCAGCAAAAAATTCTCGGACTAAAACTGGTAACTTCTGACAGAGAGAGAACCGTATTTACTCTCTTTTTTGTCCTCTCAATAGTCAGAGAACCGAGTACTGGATCGATTTCCAGTAAAATTTGACTGATTCTGACTATTTCTGACTAGTCCCAAGAACGATAGAATACAAGATTGCGCATTCCCGCAGAATGACATTTGTGGCAATGGGTAAACAAAGAATCTGGCGAAGAACAATGAGTTGACAGTTGTGAATTTGCAGTGAGAAACCGTGTTTTCTTCACGATTCACCAATTTCTCAAGCCATATTTGAATATAGCAAATTAAACACAACGTTAAAAAAAAAAAACACACCAACCACTCTTTAAATGTGTTCAAAAGAATAGGTCTAAATTATGTCTAAATTGCATGGCTTCTCCTGCCGGCAGACATCTACCCACTTTTTGGCCAAGGCGTCGTCGCGGGGAAACAGAAAACTGCATTTGGAGGCTTTACCCTTACAGCTGCTGCAATTCAACACAAGAAACGACATTTTTATAAAGTTTTTATTACAAATAAAATGTTTTTTTTTTTTTTTTTACTTTAGAACGCACGAATTACTTCGATATTTCACTTGAAAGTACACAATACGTTTGCAATACGTTTGCACTTGTTTCTAAACAAAAAGCTTGTTCACGTATTGCCATAAACGTCAAAGTTGGCAAAACCAAAGTAGTGGTTTCGGGAATGCGCCACCTTCAGTTCATTACACCATGGACTAGTCCGGATTCGTACGGGATCGCAACTTGTATTATTGAATCATGGTCGTAACCTTGTATTCTATGAACCTTGGGAGCACAGCAATACATACATACATACCACGATTGAGAGAATACAAAGGTTGCGCCGATCTCGGACCGCTATTCCTCTCTTAACGAATTTGACAGAATCAGGCATGGGCAGAGAGTTAGCAGGTGCTAAAAGAGCGTAAGCGTTGAGTGTACATATACAAGCGAGAGCGCAGCGATGAGAACACGACAGCATGCAAAATGAATTAGGTACACTAACACATGCTCACTTCTAGCTCACGCTTGTTTGTGGTAGTGCCCACCTCTGGACAGAATCCAAGAATGATAGAATACAAGATTGCGCCGATCAGAGAGGATTTTTGAGAATAACTTTTGCATGACGTCACACTTGTGCAACTTGTTTACGTTTTCCTTGCAACATTTTTTCTTCTTCTTCCATTCTTGCTCATTTGGCATTCAGCTCTCGCAATTGCACCAGTGTGACGTCACACAAAAGTTATTCTCAAA